TACAGCTGCCTGCGGTGGCACTCCTCTTTGTGGCAGCACTCCCCCTTGCCGTTGTGTTGGATCTGGTGGTGGTGGTGGTGGCATCGCCGCTGCCGCTGCCACACGAGCCCCTTGGGCCTGACTGGAGCTGACATCTCCGCCGGGAATCACCGTCGTCGCTCCTACACCTTGGAAATTAGGTGCGGGAGTGACCGGAGTCTGCGATGGGCCAGAGAAACCCGGAGGAGGGCCGTGCCCCAATGGCCTGGTCGTCGTCCAAGCTTCGTCGAACGTCGACTGCAAGTTTTTAGGAATTCCGTCCGCCATAGCTGAGCTTCAACACAACTTTTTGAACAAAGAATCCCCACAGATGGCGCCAATAATGCAAGTGTAAGCGTCCTGGTCCGGTTTGAACGGAGAGATCTTGGTCCTCGCCGGTAGAACGCCGGAAACCTGCAAATAACTCTCACACCGGAGGTTGTGTCCGGTGAAGAGCCTCCGATGCTTAAGTCAGTATGTGTATGAGTATACTGGAATTGAGAGAATGAATAGAATGTGTTTGGGAAGAAAGGCTCACCCCCTTTATATAGGGGTGAGATACATGCCCTAAGAGCTGCCCGGATGAGGTGTGCTGGCTGCCCAAGCTGCCCGTCCGTACTCTGACACGCCGCCCACATGTCAGAGGTGGCGCAAGGCGTTGGGGAGTTGTCAGAGGTAGTTATCACCATCACCCAATACATTGTTGACACGTGTTTCCCCAGCACATGGGGTAAATATTCTCTGGAGATTTCAGTCAGAGGCTCTCACGCGCGCCTATGGTACACGCGCCCATAACTAGGTCGATTACGGATTCCTCTAAGCGATCATCTCATTGGGATCGACTAGCTTGCTCGATCATTATCCTGGTCGAGCGATAGATTGCTCGATCATGAGTCTGGTCGAGCGATGGATTGCTCGATCATTATCCTGGTCGAGCGATGGATTGCTCGATCATGAGTCTGGTCGAGCGATGGATTGCTCGATCATTAGTTTGGTTGCTTCCCTGAATGTTCGATCTTCCCGCCTTTTGGCTCGGCTTCCTCTTGGTTTGACCTTCTCGACCGGCCCATAAAACCGGTTTAGCTTTATGTGTATAATATCCCATATCAACCACATGTATAACATTAATTGCAAAATTACTAGATATATAAAAAATATTTAATTTAAGCATGCAATTAACTGATGTCATGATCATTCCTTTATTATATAATTTTAATTTAAAAATAAAATTGTCTTTAAAAAGACAGAAATAATAAAGCCCGTGCATCGCACGGTGACTGTACTAGTTTAATCTAATATTTTAGGATTTATAAGCAATAATCTGCATGGTGAATTTGTTTTAGTCATTTGTTCCAACTCTCATGTTTTGTATTGAGGTGATTTATGTGAATTTTATATGTTAAAATTGCTTATTTGCTTTTCAGTATATTTTTTGTTTTACTTCTTTTTTATCATCTTGATTAAAAAACATTTATTCTACTAACCCCATGAGCCAAACTGCCACTCAGTCCCTTGGAGTCCCCCCTGCTGGCAACACCTAACTGTTTGTATAGGTATGCCAGTGTAGCTGAGCCCCAGGAGTACTCCGAAACTTTAGCCGTGTCCTCGTGAATCTCGTGCATGACCTTCAGACTAATCCTGTTACCACTCTTGTCCGCGAACAAGGTGGTACCCATCGCCATCCACAGCCATGTGGCTGCCTCCTAGTCAGCCGGCCGAGACTCGTCCAGCCCCCTGAATGCGCCCGAAACGGCGGCAGTGGTCACCGCGCCGTGATCCCAGTAGCTGCCATCAGCTCTCTCTGGTCCACCCCCAGCATCTCCATGCAGTACGCATGGAGTCTCTCAGAGGTCGAGTCCCCTGCCACTACACGTCCCTCCACGGGAATCCCCAAGATGGCCCGAACATCGTGCAACATTATACTCATTTCACCAAAAGGCAGGTGAAACGAGTTAATATCGGGCTGCCAGTGCTCCACGAATGCAGAAAGTAGTGGAGTGTCCAGGTGCGCATGCATGGAGTCCGCCAGATGTGACAGCCCCGACTGATCTATCAAAGCACGTGGCTCAGGATCCATCTCGGCGAGCCACTCCTTCAAAGTGACGTGCGCTCCATGCCTGTTTTGACATTTCAATATGCCTCTAACATGCCGGTCTGGCTCAGGCAACATCATACGGGAAGCCACGTGCCCTAGAAAGCTAGGGATAACGCTCCCGTCACTAGGGCCACCGGGTACTGGGGCTTTAACGATCCAAGACTCACCCTTAGCCCGTTTGCTACTTGAACCTGCATTTACAATACAACAAATAAGTATAGATATATACACGCCATATTGTGACTGATTGTTTAGTTAATTAAAAGACTTTTTTTTTTAATAAACTATAAATAACTAATTATTCCATTAACGCTCAAATATAAATGCAGTAGTCATTGATTTTATTTTAAATTTATACTAATAAATTAAGAACAAAATTTAGTAATGAGTGATTTTATTTTTAATTATACTAATAACTTAAAAAGGACAAATATAAATTTTTATGAATTGTAAAATTTTTAGGAAAATCATATCCTATTGTAGATTTGATAGTTAAAAATAAAATCACCTTGTTAGATGAAATGAAAATAAATTTTAAGTTATGTTATATGTGTGCATTAAAGTATTGTAAGTTAGGAATAAATTTTTTGATATTTACCAACAGAATAAATCCTTTTATGTTGCTAAGACAACACAATATTTATTTTGAATTTGTTCAAAAATTATTAAATTAATTACATAACTAAATAATATTACTAAATAAAAATATATGTAACTGACAAAATAGATAACTACGTGTTAGATATATACACGACATATTGTGACTGACTGCATCAAAGATATGCTATTAGTAAATAAAAGTATATGTAACTAACAGTAAAAAATTAAAGTACGTAGAATATTTACCAGAGGAGGATGCAGTACCCGCAAAACGGCCCCCAGCTTGTCGTGGAGGAGCAGGTCGTACCAGTCGTAAAGGGGGAGGAGGAAGTGACGTGGTCTGCTCATCTCCAGAGTCAGGCTCCTCGCCCTCATCATCGTCCTGGTCATCGTCCTAGTGATAATAGTGGACCGGACTCTCGACGATCGGAGCCGACGACTGATGAATACGTATCCTCGTCGGCATCCTGCCAGCCATCGATGAGCTGGCCTGCCCACCGCTCTGCTGACCACTCGGTTCCAAAGGAACGATCGGTGGCAATCTCATAGCCATCTCAGCCTGAGCTAACTGAGCCTCACGGATCCTCGCCACCCTCACTCGACGAGCGTCGGCATCTACAAACCGACTCTGCATGTGTCGGGGTCCAGAACCCTCAAGCTGACCAAACTCCATAAGTCGCTCAGATCCATCACTCTAAATCAACAAATTAAACTAATAATTAATAATAAACAATGTTACACAATTTTAATAATATTATACAATTTATAATAATTACTATATATATTAATAAATTTTATTTATATATTTTCAATATTTTTATTTATATATTTTAAATAATTTTATTTATAATTTTCTATTATTTATTTATAATATATTCAATTATTTATTTATAATATATTCAATTAATTTTAATATATTCAATTAATTTTCTTATTTTCATTACTTTTTAAAATTTTTAAACTTTTTAATATTATTTTGAAAAAAACAATTTTAATAATTTTATACAATTTATAATAATTACTATATTTATATATTAAATAATTTTATTTATATATTATAAATAATTTTATTTATATTTTTCTATTATTTATTTATAATATATATATATATATTCAATTATTTATAATATAATTTTTTATTATTTTCGAAATATTTAATGTTTTTTATATTATTTTCAATTAATTTAAAATTAAAAAAATTATTTTTTTTTTTTAAAAAAAAAGAGCCGGCCCCGACAGATAACGGCTGGGGCCGACGTGTAACAGCCGACCTAGGGTGGCCGACACACCCCTACGCCGAGCTTGGCCGGCACCCGCGGCCAGCCTTTCGATTTTTGGCCGGCATGGGTGGCCGGCCATTCATTTTTCGGCCGGCAAAGGGTGGCTGGCCACCAACAGAAACAAAAAGAAAATTTAAAATTTTTTTCGATCGAAATTTCAAATAAAAAACGTACCGATCGAGCGAAGAGTCCCTTGCCTCCACGTCGTGATGGTCCCGATATTTTTTCGGAATTTTTTCAGACGTCGAAAGAGTGAAAATCGAGAGAGAAAGAGAGTAGAAGAGAGAGAAATGGTGTGGATGACAAAATCGACTTTTGGGGGCGGTAAATAGCGTTTCACTTTTTAATATTGCTATCGCGCTTGGCAAAACGTACAAATTAAATGGTTATTTACTGGTAGCTATAATTAGTAATTAGTATTTCCAACTGGAGACAGCTTTCCCGTTCAGCTCGAAGAATTCTCATTGCGGGTGTCTCTTTTGTCTTGGTTTCGCTTTTACCGCAAATCATCGCTCTCTCTCTCTCTCTCTCTCTCTCTCTCTCTCTCTCTAGATCGCCACCGCTCTCAACCCCCATTTCTTCTTATTCTTCTCCTCCTCTCAGATCTCCTGCTATACCGTGGAGGAGGCTTTGAATTGTAGGTATCGTCCTCTTTCTCATTACATTAATAGTTTCCAATGCATGATAATTGTTGGGATCTTCAGTTTTTTCTTTTATTGGGTATTCAGATCTAATATCGGTCAGCTATGCGTGCGATATTTTTGATTTCTAACCTATAGTCGTTTTCATTCCTCGGATCTGTTGGCGCTTGATTGGCGTGGCTGGTGGAATCGGTATCTCTGAATTGAAATTTGATTGTTAAACATCATTTGGGAAGCTTTTAATTTGGTTCAATGTTTAGAAATCTGATGAAATATGGACTCCTCTGCTCGAGTGGAGGTTGTGTAGGCAATTAACTTAGAGAGATTAAGCTGATTTTGGTTCTCCCTCTCCCCAAGAAGGGTGAAATGAAGAAGGCTTTTGGTCAGACTGTTCGCGATCTGTGAGTTCTGTTATTTAAGCAATGCACCTGCCACACCTTTAATGTCCCTCATTGTGACCTCTCTGCTATTAAATTTTGGATTAGAATTCGTAGTTGTGAAAACACTTTTTTTTTTTTTTTTTTTTTT